CGGCCGGCCCCCAGCCTGCCCTCCCACACTGCTCCCCGTCCCTGGGGAGCACACGCCGGCTCCCATGGGTGCCCTGGAGAGCGGGGACCTGCCCAGTTCTGCAAGCCTGGGCACGGGGCTGGCTCCCAAACCCTCTCCGGTGCCTGGCGAGCTGGGGGCTGGTGGGCAGCGACCGCTCGTGGGGAGCTGGACGCAGTCTGCGCCGCCCTGGTTTGACCCCAGCAGTAGTGGCGTTAAGTATAGATGTTTCCGAGTGCCAACTCTATAGATCAGGGAGGCTGTTCTAAAGGGAGCCAGGATCGTTAGCAGTCTGGGGGAGAAACTGAGGCACGGAGCGAGGCAGCGCAGGTCTCTGCACCCCGGGACGGGGCTCTCTCCCTAGCTGGGCGTGCAGTAAACAAGTCTGTTTTGGACACAGCTCCCTCGGAGACCATGGAGTGAATCCAGCTGAGGTTTAGCACCGAGGAGGTTTGGTGGGTTTGGGTCCTGGGGGGGGAAAGAGCAGGGCTGGCCTGAATCTCCATCGCCGGGGCCAGCCGCCCGACTCTGTGCCAGGGGCTGACCGGGTGCTGGGGCTCCTTCCATGGCCCCAACAGGCAGCCATACGCCGCTGCCCGCAGGCAGCCCTGCTGCCGGCAGCGTTGTGCTGACCGCGGCGGTCTCTCCCTTTGTTCCCCGGGTTTTGTCGTGAGCGCAAACAGCCGCCGCGGTCACGGGCCCCCTGAGCCGGCTGGCTGCGGGGTGCCGGGCCCTGCGGCAGATAGAGTGCCGCGGTCCAAGCTGTGGGAAGCCTGTCTGTTTACTTCCCGTCCACCCCAGCAAAACTGCAGGAATTCAGAGCCCGGCCGAGGTCGGGAGGTCTGTTTAGCCCCGGTATCCTGTCGGACCCTGGCCAGCCCCTGTTGTTGTGAGAGACGGAGCAAGGGCCAGCGAGGAGATAACCTTTCCCCCTGGAAACGTCCCCTCCTCGCCCTGGAGAGCTGCGGGCTGGTTCGCGGCCCCGTAGCAGCAGGATTTATGGTCCTGTGCGTGTTCTGGCGTGTCCTGCTAATAGTTCCTCGCCGAACTCTGGCTAGCTCCTGGTCGTCGGCAGTCCCTTGGGGAGCACTGCTCTGTTTTTGGCACCAGCATGTCGGCGCTGGGGCGGTGAGTTCCCCGGCTTGGCTCCGATCGGCACGCTGATAGCCCTGGCGAGAGCAGAGCTTTGCCTCCCGCCCCGGCGAGCCGTCTCGCTGGCCCTAGCTCAGACGCTTGCTGCCGGCTCCCTTTCCGCTTCCAGAGGCGCTGCCGGGGCTGCTCCATGCATCCCAGGGCTGAACTGCAGCAGGGTCCTGGTGCCAGGGACAGGACCAGACCTGTCACCTGCGCCTGGGAGGAGGCGGTCACTGGGGCGCCTGGGCTGCCCGCACTAACAGGACCGTCTGCCCCCAGGCCTCGGGAAGACTCGCTGGGGAGCCCAATGCCAGGGTGTGACAGCGGGCTGGTCCCCTGTCGGGGCCGGTGGTGGCAGGGTGTGATCCGTGCCCTGTCTCTGGCAGCTGTCTGCCAGGCAGCAACATCAAAGAGGCCGCCTGAGCCCGATCCCTAAGGGGCAGCGCACCAGAAAGTGGGGCTGAGCCGCCAGCATGTCCTCCCTGCGTGGCGTGCGGGTTCTCCCTGGCCCCGGGCAACGCGGGGGGCCCGACCGGTCCAGCACAGCCCCTGCCCCAGCGCCTGGCAGGGTGGGGAGAGCATCCTCTGATCTCTGGGCTGGAGGGTGCTGCCTGGGGCGCTCTGCACGGCAAAGCCGGGGAGGCTCGTTTGGAGCCGGCCGGGCCAGCCGGGATGCTTTCCCCCTCCGTGGGTTTGGCTCTCCCAGCCCGTGAGCGGGACGAGCTGGGAACAGGATGCATGGGAGTGTGGCTGGATTTGGCGTTTCCCTCGTGCACACCCAGGCACTGGCTTCTTTCTTGAAGCCACTGGTGCCCTCTGGTCCCCGTAGGTGACTGGTGCTGAGTGGGATGAGGTGGGGAGGATGGGGGGGGGTCTTGTGGGAAGCCTGCACTGTCAGAGCATGCAGTCCCCTGCTGCCCTGCGCCTGGCCAGGGCTGTCTCACCCTCCACGCTGGCTGCAGGACCCCTCTGTCCTGCAAACAGCCACCTATTCGCAGGGGAAATCATGTTCCCGGGGACCTGGGGCTCCTGCTCCTCGGAGCTGGCGGTCCCGAAGGGCTGAGAGGGCAGGTGGGAAGCAGCACGTGGTCTGTCGGTTCACTTTATCCCTCTTGTCCTCGACTTGCGCTTGCAGGTCCCGTCCCCTCCCCTTTCCCCGAAGCCCTGCTGGGACTTGGCAGTGCTCTGGGCTCCTTGCCCCAGGATGGGCAGCGCTGCCTGCCAGCCTGCCTGCCTGCATAATCTCTCGGGTTACAGAGCAGCTTTCCCTGGTAGGTAGCTGGAGAGGCGGCGGCGAAGCCGCCCTGGCCTGGTTTCCTTTGTGAAAGCACCAGCAGTGGGAATGTCACAGGATCCGTTCTCCTCTCCCCAAGCGAGAGGAGGAGAAAAGGGCTCTGTGTCCCACTCCCCCCCGGGCAGGACAGGGCTGATAGCCGGGCTCTGCGGGCAGCAGCGTCCCGCCACGCTGCTGTCACCTCTCGGGGTGGGCTGGGAGCGAAGCGTTAAGGGACGGGGAGATTTTGGCTGCTACGAAAAGGCTTCGTGGGCAGGAGCGTCCAGGGGAGACGCAGCAGCGGCTTGTTTGGAGGCTGTGACGGTGATGGAGAGCTGCTGGCTGGAGAGGCTGCTGCGGCACGCCGGTAATGCTCCAACCTCCCAGTGGCCCCTTTGCCGAGGCTTGCAAAGTATCTCACAAATGCTGAACTTGGCCCCAAAATCTAAATACAAGGGAGGGACAGTCCCCAGATGGCCTAAATCAGCAGCACGGTTGCCTGGCCTAGCTGGGGAGCTTGCCGGGAGTGTTTGCTTTATGTAAAACCAAAGGCTGGAGGAATGCTGGCCTGAAAGGAGACCTTGCAAGGGGAAAATGTCTGTGCCATGCACAGCTGGCATGTGTGAGATCCTGGCACAGGGAGCAGGGCTCCAGCGAGCTGCTTGTCTGCGTTCGGATGGGGCGAGGTGGGGAAGAAGTCCACTTGGCTCCAGGTTTGAGGGTGTGGAGATGGTGGCGTGGCTGCTCCATCTCTTCCCTGGGCTACTTGGGGATAAATCAGGGGCTCCCTCAGCTGGAGCCCCTGTGTACCATCCCTGGGGCTCTGCTGCGGCAGAGTCCGGCGGTCACCCTGCCGAGAAGGGTGGTGGGATCCTGCACGGGGATGGATGGGGAGCATGGCCGTGTACTGCCGCTGCCGTGCCGTGGGGCATGCCCGCCCTGGCTGGCCCCATACGGAAGCTGTACGTGGGAGGGCTGGGCACCGAGACTTTGCACCCACGTGGGATCAGAGTCCGTCCTGCCTGCACAGGACTGGCCCGGCTGCAGCCTGCCTGAGGCCCCGCTGCCGTGGCAGGGGACGGACGGGTGTCACAGGGCAGGTTTGGGAAGGGATGGGAGGCGGCAGCCCTTCCCCAGCTGTGCCGGGAGCTGTGGGGTGGATGCTGCAGCCCCCTGCGGTGTCTGGCTGAGAAGGTACGGGGCTGGCTTGTGTCGGGACCACCATGCTGCCATCGCTGGCCATGGGCTGTGGGGCCAGGGCTTGCTTCCAGCCAACCCTGCGGAGCCATTCAGCTGCACCCTGGGGCTGGGTGGGCAATGGAGCGGGGGACACAGCCCCCACCGTGAAGCTTGCTCAGAGGAAAGACGTCTGTCTCTTCCCCGTGCATGTCATGGGGCTGCGGTGTTGCCGGCGGTGCCCAGAGGGAGGAAGCGGGTGGCTGCAAGCCCTTCCTCCCTGTCAGCCTCTCCCAGGACCACCTGGGGCTGCCTGGCGCCAGGGGAAGCGCAGGATGCGGTGACGCAGTCCCTGTCCTCATCCCCTCCTGTAGGGCCACGGGTGCTGGGCTGGACTGGTGGCACCAAGGTGGCCACGGGAAAGAGGAATGTGCCTCTCTGCATCCCCGTCAGCCAGGGCCCTCGTCATCTCTGCCGCCGGCTGCCACCCCTGAGTCACAGCGGTGACGGTGAGGTGGCTGGGGAGGGTGGGCACAGCCACGCGTGGGCTCAGCGCCGGGGTGCAGTGCGGAGCAGCATTGGAGGGCTTTGGAGTGCTCAAGAGCAGCAGCAAGGCTGCGTCCCCATGTCCCCATCCTGCCAAGCGTGGGTGCAGAGGGGTACCCACGGGGTGCCTGCCCGTCCCGGCTCCCCCCGGCACGCCGCTTGGCTGACGGTGCCTCCCGGGGGCTCTACGCCCTCCTCGCACACTTCCTGCCGTCTGTTTCCAATTCCTCCTGGCGTCTGCTCCTCCCCGCTTTCTTCCAATTAAAAAAAAAATCCCAGGCATCTTCTCGGCGTGCGGCTCCCAGAGGCTCGAGCGCTGCCGTGCCCCGCTCCGGCAGGCTGGGGCTGCACAGGGAGGGGACGGCGGGTACCCGAGGCGTCCCACGTCCCTCTTTATGCCTGTTCACAGGGGCACAGGCTCGGGGACCATCCTGCAACACCCCGTGCCCAGGTCTTTGTCTTGTGGTCCTTTGTGCATGTCTGCTCTGTGGACAGGGTCTGGGACCCACTCGTTTAGGGGGTGTGGGGAGCTTGGGGTGTCTGGGGACCCATTCCCCATAGAGCCATGCCCTGTGTGGAGGCTGTTCCCGGGGGAGCGGAGCAGCTGGTGGGCATGGGGTTACGTTTTGTAGCCTGGTGGGGTGAGGGCTGGTGTTGGCAGGGCTGTGCCCACCCATGTCCTCAAAGCCTGACTGTGTCCCTCTCTCCTGTCTCCTAGGAGTGACCCATCCGTGACGGCAGCAGGAGCCCAGCCGCAGAGCACCAGGTGTGAGCACCGGCCAGGTCCGTGGGACGCGTGGCTCTGTCTCAGCCGCCCCGGTGCAGCGTACTGCAGGCCCTCTCCGCCGCGGCAATGCCGATCCTCAAGCAACTCGTCTCCAACTCTGCCCACTCCAAGCGGCGCTCGCGGGCCGACCTGACGGCCGAGATGATCAGCGCGCCGCTGGGGGACTTCCGCCACACCATGCATGTGGGGCGGGCGGGCGATGCCTTTGGGGACACCTCCTTCCTCACCAGCAAGGCCGGGGAGCCGGGGCTGGAGGGGGGCGAGGAGCCGGGTGCTTCCAAACCCAGCCTGCTCTCCCGCCGCTTCCGTAGCAGCAAGCGCTCGCAGTCGGTGACGCGAGGTGACCGGCGGGACATGCTGGGTTCGCTGCGGGACTCGGCCCTCTTTGTGAAGAATGCCGTCTCCCTGCCCCAGCTCAATGAGAAGGAGGTGGACAGGAGCGCGGGGCAGCTGCCCAAGAGCCTCTCCTCCAGCCCCGTCAAGAAGCTGCCTGAGGAGGTGAGCCCCGAAGAGCAGCAGCGCCCGAATGGGGCAACCGCTGGGCCGCTGAGCCCTGGCTTGGACGAGCGCGACTTCGGGGACATCACGGAGCTGCCCGTTGTGGTGGCCAAGAGCGGGGCTGGCATGAAGCACGCCGAGTCCATCATGTCCTTCCACATTGACCTGGGGCCCTCCATGCTCGGGGATGTCCTGAGCATCATGGATAAGGAGCAGTGGGAGCAGGACGAAGACCCCGAGGTGGAGGAGAGCCGTGAGGAGGAGGTGGATGCCGCCCTGCCCGGCTCCCCGGTGGCAGCGGCAGCCCCGCTGGGCCAGAGCCCATCCCGCGGTGCCGGTGGCCGCTACCCCAGGGACAGCAGTTCGGCGTCCAGCTGCACCTCGGGGCCGGAGGAGCGCAGCCCCATCCCCGGGCCACCGAGCCACCGGGGCCCCCCAAAACGCCCCGACAAGGAGTTCTCATTTGCTGACGAAGACGACGACGAGATCAGAGTATAAAAGGCGGGCGGCCAAACCAAGGGGTCTGGTTCTCATTTGCGGTTGCTTGGACACGGGGCCAAATACCCTGGTGCTGCAATGGGTGGCACTGGGGAAGACTCAACTCCTCGCTCGTTCCCTCTCCCCGTCCGGCGGTGGACATGCTGCGGCAGGACAGCACTCTGTGTCCCGGCGCCAGGGCAGCCTCAATGCCTCTCGGCTCCCGGAGAGCTCCAGCACATCCCGGGAGGGAAAAGCAGACTCGATTTCAATTCTTTCTGTTGGACTTCGGATATTAGCTCTTTTCTTTTTTCCCCCTTGCCCATGTAAAGCAATATAGGATCAAACAAGACGAGGCTTCAAAGTTTTAGCCCCTTTAGTAATATATATATTTTTTTTTTCCACCATATGGTTTTTACTGCTCTCTGATTTGTACTTAACTTTCTTTACTCTCGCTTTTGGTTTTAACGGAGGGGAGATTTCCTGTGAGGAAGGACTTGGCTCTGGAGCTCAGAGGGCGCCCGGGACTGCGGGCAGCTCCAGCTCCCCAGGTTTCTTGGGGACTTTCTGCAGACCGAGAGCCTCTGGCCTCGTGTCGCGGCAGGGACTCGCTCCCCATCCCTCTGATGGATGGATCCATCCTGGATGCCTGACCCTCCAAACAGCCCGGGGGTCGCAGGGGTGCCCCCTGGCCAGCCCTGGCACTGGCTGCTCCTGGGGATGTTGACGGGAGCGTGGGTCCGTCCCCTGCGGGAGGAATGCCTGGGACCCCCCGTGAGCCAGGGTGAGCCCCAGTGTCCTGCGTGCCAGGCGGCGGCTGTCGCGGGGCCGGTCTGGCTGGGCCGTGCCGACGCTGGCCTAGTGCAGGTGGGTGGAAGAGGAGGGTTTTATACCATGTATGTACAAATGCAAAGAATAAAAGGAAATGGTAGTTACGGCAGTGGCTTGAGTTCCTGGGGGATGAGATGCGTGGGTACATGGGTGTTTGCACCCTGCTGCACAAGTGGGGACTGGCTTTCTCTGTGCTGCCACGGTCTCCAGACCCTGTCCTGCCGCCTCCACCTTTGCTGCCTGTCCCTGCCTGGAGTCCTGCCTGGTGGCTGGTGCCCTGGCCGGCGTTTCGGCACCTGCAGTGGCCGTGCTTTATCTGCCCATCGCGCGGGGCTGCCTGTGGCGGGAGGAAGCGGGCGAGCTCCTGCTGGCCGGATCTGGCTCCAGGCTGGGACCCTCCGGCCAGGCTGGTTCCTGCCAAGGGATGGCTCTGCCAAGATGCCTCTCTGCTCCCTGCCAGCCAGAGAGGAGGGGAGGGTGATGGCAGGGCAGGACTGGCTGTCCCTGCTCCTACGGGCTGGGGGCCAGGGCTGGGGTTGCCCTAGGTGCTCCTAGCCCCATGGGGCTGCCGTGGCCCCTGCCGACCCCAGTGAGGGTGGATGGAGGGGCTGAATCTGGCACTGCGAGCAGGGTGGGTTGCTCCCATGCTATGGCTGGCTTCCCACAGCTCAGCCCCTGGTGTAAGTGGGGCTCTGCCAGCATGGAGGGTGCTTTTGCTCCCCAGCCCCGCTGATGGAGCTGGGCTGAGATGGGGCAAAGTGCTGGGAGCAGCCCCAGAGCCCTTCCCTAAGCGGGTGGAGAGCACGGCTCTGCTGGGAGCACTGGCCAGGCTCTCCTCACGGGCGCTGGATGGGGAGGAAAGGATATGGCCCTTCCGACACCTCCTAGCTCTAGGAGAGGCTGGGTGCCCCTGTCATGCCGGAGGGATCTCCCCTGGTGAAGCCGGTGGGAGCGGGTGAGTGCTGTGCTGCGGTGGGGACACAATGGGGTCCTGTGTGTGTGCCAGGGCCGACACAAAGCCCCGTGGCGTGGGACATTGGGCTATTGTCCGGGTCGGGGAGAACAACAGCAGCTGCAGCTGGTGGCTCTGAGCTCACCGGGCTGCCTCTGCCCTGCTCGCTGCAGCACAGCCCCCCTGCCCTGTGCCAGGGTCCCGGGGCCGCTGCCCCCTGCCCCTGCTCTGAGCACCCATCTCCTGAAACAATGGTCCTGGTCTCTGCCTCCTGGGATGTCACCAGGCTGCCGCAGAGACCTGGTTCCTCTTGTCCTTTACTGATGCTCTGACATGGAGCAGCAGGGCAGGGCAGGTCACTGGGGTTTGCACCCCCTCCTGGGACCACTCGCTCCCCGGGGCCTCACCGGTGCCGTGGGGAGGGGAGAGGCCCTGGGGTGACCCGGGACTGGCTGCCTGCGACCGTCACTTGGCAATCACGATCTTTGTGATGCCTGTCAGCTCCAGCCTCCCGCTCGGCAGCACTGTGCTGCTGCGAGCCGACGGGGCAGAAAGCATGCTGAGTGCGCACGGGACATGGCCCCGCTCGACAGGATGGGATGGTGGCTCCAGCATGCTGTGAGCGAGTGAGCATGGGGCCAGCGCAATGGATCCTGGGCTAGTGGGAGTAATGCTAGCAATGCTGCGATGCCAGGGGAGGGCAGGTCGGCTGTGCTGCACCTGCAGCCTCCCCAAAAACCCTCCATGCGGACAGCACGGGGTGGGCATCTCAGTGTGGGACCCGGTATGTGCATGGGATGTGGCCAGCACGACTGCTCGGTGCTGGGTGGGTGCACAGCACCCGGCGCAGGGCTGCAGCCGCTGCGCCTGCAGGCAGCGCCCCCGCCGGCGGGGCGCAC